TTAGTTGCGACATTTGCCTAAGAAAATGTCGAAATGTCGAGAGAAAAATGTCTATTGCACTGCGTCTCTACTACATTTCAAATGAAGTCGTATTAAAAGGCAGCTTTTTAGGGTTTGTCGTGGGGCAGCTCGGATTCCTGGTTACTGTTGTACAGCTTTTAATGGCTTATGGAATTGTTATGTTGACTGTGCTATCTCTTTGCGCGATATCATCGAATGGAGCTGTGGAAAGCGGAGGAGTTTACTGTTTGTTGAATTTCCAAAATTTATCCTGCTAATGGCCAAGAATGAATAACGTTGTTCTTCAGTGCTACTATCTTCTCCTTTCAGACATGATCAGTAGATCACTGGGACCAGAATTCGGTGGTGCTATCGGTGTTTTGTTTTTCGTTGCTAATGTCTTCTCATGTGCTCTATATGTATCGGGATTCACTGAGGCACTGCTGAACAACCTTGGTGGAGGCCGTGAGTATTTCAATTAATTCTCGCTCCAGAAATTTTGATGACTCCTTTTGGTGACTCAAAATTAAATCTGCTTTTCTGTCGGATATTTCGTCTGCGTTTTTAGAATTTCCTGACTCGCCCATGTGGCGATTTTTATACTGTGTGCTGGTTTCTCTCGTTCTCCTTATTCTTGCTTTGCTTGGCGCTGGTATGTTCGCGAAAACGGCATTGTTCACCTTTATTTTGATCTCGGTAGGTATACGAACCGTTGGGACTTCTCTTCTACTGTATTTCTTTGGTTATTTATTTTGATGTGTCTTAAAGATTTGCTATTCTACGTGGCTCTTTTCTGTGATATTTGATGGACCCATGCAAGTGCCTATACCCAAAGTAAATACTCCTGCTTATCGTGTCCACGAGAACGCTTCTGATCCCGAAAGTCCTATGATAGTGCAGTTGAATCAGACCTTAACCGCGAACTACACTGGATTTAGGTATGTAAAGAGACTTTTCATCAATCTTTCTTTAATATTGTTGAAATTTTTCCTCGCAAACTTCATTTTCTTTTAGTTCCAAACACACTGGGTGAAAATATGTTCACCAATTACACCATGGACTACACGACGGAACGGCAAACTGATTTCGCTTTAATGTTCGCCATTATTTTCTCGGGTGTCACTGTACACCCCTCGCCTCCGTGCCCCACTCTGCCTCGTGAATCACATGTGTTTTTTGTTTGTCTTTTTCACAGTTCCCTTTACAATCTGTAGGATGATTTAGGGGCCTCAGCAACTTTAATCGTGTTGGGAGCGAGTGTAAACTCAAACTTGAAACCGAGGTATTTTGGAATTGCATCTTCAGGTCTAATGGCTGGCGCAAACATGTCTGGTGAACTGGCTCGCCCCTCAGTTTCGATTCCTCGAGGTACTGTGCAAGCAGTCCTGGTCACATTGTTCGTATATATTATGACGGCATTCTTGATGGCAGCCACATCGAGTAGATATCTTCTTCAGAATGATTACACTGTAGGTGGAACACTTACCTCCCTTTTTGAACAGCGTAACTAACCTTGGAAAAATGGCAGGTAATATGGACCAAAAATCTCCAATAGATGGTTCATTCTCATTGTTCTTTCCACATACTTCTGTTTTCTCAATGAGCAAACCTGAAGTGCGTGTTGAAGTTAGAGACAGCTCCCGCGATAAAAATTGTCAAGGATATGTTGGTGTTTTCAATTATGAAACAGTAGCTGATAAGTAATTCCTCAATGAAGGAAAAAAGCAACAAGAGCCCTCAAGAACACCATAAACAAAATCGCTCCCTGACAGTCACACCGCCCTGCGGTCTCTGTGCAACCCCTCGCTCGCAAATCGCTTTATCGCATATCCCAGTAGTAGATATCATCCAGTGCAAAGAAAAGAATACGAAAAACAACAAAACACGAACGAAAAACACTTAAAAAAAGAGAAAAATTCAAAAAACTTGGCGTCCTGAAATTGGGGTTTCGTGCAGTGTGCGCTTCAAGCTTTTGCACCACAAAAATTGCTCACTACGTTTATTTTTACGCGCTACCTTGCGATATGGGCTGCAGTTAAACTGTATGTGCTCCAATGAATAAAATGTGATGAAGGAGAGCAGAATTATTCATGGGCACGAGCGCGGTCAGCAAAAAGTACATGCAGTTCCGATTAATGCCCGCCGTCCCAACAAAGAACAACTGAGCGGCTCTCCGTCGGGGGCATCTGCAAGTGGGCGGTCTAACTGAGCAGGCGTTAGAACTAGAACTTTGGGCCGGGCTGTAGCTCGCTCCTCGCTCACTGGGAGAAAGTTCGGGAGTTGGATAATCTCTAGCTTGGGGGGCTAGACTACTTGCACAAGGAAATTACTTCTTGAGCGCGGGGGATGTCTTTAATGCGTTTGATTAGCTACAGAATGTATCCAAAGCTGTGAATTTAGACATTTGAGATTGCTTATCGTAATGTGAGCTCCATGCTGCGCCTGGTCGCATTAGATAAAGTTTTTGCCTCAGTAGCACTCTTTCGATCCAAATAAAGGGCTCCTGCAGTGACGCTGAGCAGCTATGGTTGCACATTTTTTGAGCATATCAAAAGTTATAGGAAAATTTCCTACCACTATTACTACTCCAAAGCCTCAAAAAAATCTTGCCGAAAGTCTGCCTGTAGATGCTTCTCGTGACCTCGAATTTGCCATTCATCCTTAACGCCAGAGCCTTCCTCACCGAAATTGGTGGAAACTCGGGTACGGGGTTGTTTGACATCTCGGTTAAGAATATAACATTCATTTTCAATGCCGGTGCCACTTTGCTCCAGTGAACGCCTTTGGCGCACCCTTTTCAACGAATTCGATGGAAATTCCATAAACAGAGTTGAGCGATATCCTCTGTCACTTTTGAAATGACATTCATTTTTCGATAACAGCGGAACTTTCTCCGCTAAAGCTGAGTCTGGGAGGATTAGTGATCCTTTTGCTGGGTTAAACTTTAGCAGAGCGCAGATGACTAGGGTACCCACTGATTGAGCTAAAGTTGAATTCATATCCATGGATCAGGACGTCCAAATTAGCAACCGTAGTCGAGTCCTCTCTGGGCAGGAACTTTGCCCATAATCAACATTTCTTGGGATGGTCACTAACGTTGTTCGTTCTTCTGACTGTGTCGGAACCATCTTACATGAGTTCGGAACGAGTGATTTTATTAGCGAGCAGGATAGGAACCGAAACCAAAGCTCATAGAAGCGTGCTCCTCACTTCTATGATACGTCGCGTTTTTCATACAATGTGGGTGAAATAACATTGGTCTTGCTGAGAAACGGGCTTTTTTGACGTCTGTTAATCTTCGATCCTCATATGTAACCTTTTGTCCACTTATGGGAACACAGTAGAACGTATAGCACTGCAAGCCAATAGCTCACATTAGATTATCTGCACGAACTAACACCGATATTTTAGGGTCATCGCGCGTCCTCAATCGCCTCTCACATGACAAGCTTTTCGGTTGTCTTCTAAGGCCGGCAAAAATAGAGATTGGAGACCGGAATCCTGTGGTTTCAGTGATCATAACATGGCTTTGTGTGGTGGTTCGTTTTTGAACTCGTTCATTTTCAAACTCGTTTTCAACATTCCAAGCTGAAACTTTCAGGGTGTATTCTTAGTGGGGGCAATGAACAAAATCGCCAAGTTAACCTCTATATTCTTCCTTCTTTCGTACATGGGAGTGAATATTGCTTGTCTTGCGCCTATCGGAGCTTACCAGTGCCCCAAATTTCAGGTAATTATTTGTAGTTCATAAGTCCAAATGTGTTTTTTTTGAACCAACTTTGTTATTCGACAGGCTCTGTACTTCTGTTCTAGTTTCTATTTTCCCATACACTGCGGAGCATAATTATAGTTCCACCCATCAATCTCAACAAAATCTTCGTCCTAACGACGTTTTCGAAGATGCCGCAAAATAGGAAATGTGGCAATTACCGTTACCAGCTCGCATGCCACCACCGGAAACTAGCTTTCCTGAGCAGTTTTTTTTTCTTATATTCTTTGAAAATTTATCACTCTGACAATGATGCAAAATAGTTATAATAACATTTGCACCCGCATACATTTCCCGTTGATCTCATTTTTATTCAGGTAAAACTTTTCATATCCTAAACGTTTTGCTTTTCTAGGCTGTGGCAAGGAAAAATCCATTATAGGGCTTTGGAAAAAAGACAGATTACAGCAAAGAATACTCAAGGACTGTCGAACAGTCAAATTGCACGGGCTTTGAGGCGCAGTCATCATGTTATGCACAGTTTTGTCAAGGAACCTATAGGATATGGAATTAAGAAGATGGCCCTGATGGCTTCCTTCGCTCCGATCGGCATAAGCACCGTATCTTGAGAGAAAGCCAGCCAACTTTCAACAATGTGTCAGCTGTCGGAAATGAAGTCATCATCAAGCTTAATGTCTCGAATGATTGTGTTCGGCGTGTCTTCAAAAAGTCCCGAGTTCATTCACCGTTTCTGACAGTAAACCATCATGAAAACCCATTTGCCTTCGCTAGAAGATGTAGCCGAAACGACTGGAGTAAGATTAGCTTTTCGCTGCGGTGCACTACTGCCTGTCCGTTTTGTCTTTTTCAGTTTTTTTTTCTCTCGGCCGTATTTTCTGATGAGAAAAAAAATTCAACTGTGACGGCCCAGATGGAAACCGATTTTACTTGCACGACCTGAAGAGGCAGGCTTCAATTTTCCAGGCGGAATTTCAGAGGAGGTGGTCCCATGGTCTGGGCTGCCATCGCATCAATGGAACGTCTGAAACTGTGCTCCTTATAAAAAATGATTTCTTTCGTTTTCTAAACGTCATGCGACGATGTCTTCTTCCTTTCTGGCTAGCAAATAGCGAGGAAATTCTGTTTTCATGATAGATAATGCGCTAGTGCATGTCAGATAAGCACTCGAGCGTGGTTCAGTAGTCACCAAATCGTCTTTTGACCTGGCCAGCGAATAGTCCCGACTTATCGAGAATGTGCGGGGCTTCATGGTGCGTAAGATTTGTGCAAATAATGCGCAGCCAAAATGTCCGTGAGCTTAAGCAGGCAATCATTGACGCATGGCACCATGTCGACCGAATACCTTATTATACAACGCTCTATTCCGAAGGCCGCGGAACAAGCGTATTTTTTTCAAACTGTATAACTTATTCGGAGAAATGGGGCTGCAATAGATTATCAAGTTGACATTTTATTCATTTTCTTGTACATTTGTTGTTGGATTAATCGATTTATTGGGTGGAATTAACATTTTGCTTCAGAGTGACTATGTTACTGACATTAAAAAAAAAAAACAAAGAAAAAACATTGTTCTCGCCAAGTTGCGGTCTTAGGTGTTGTGCGTGCGACATTGCCATTCGTAAATGATATTAACAGCGTTTTCCTATTTAGAGTCACTTTTGTCAAACGTTCTGCTACAACTTTGAGCAGATCTGTAGATTCTTGTCTATTGGATTCAATGCGCGGAACTATAATTATGCTTCGCAGTTTATTTTCTCCAATTGAGGATTTGTGGTCTCAATGTTATCACTAAGTAGGTTAAATTTGTTAGGCCGCGTTCATAATTTGCGACTATAGAGATTTGGAGGTTCGGGAGACTTAGCACTTTGAGAGATTGCATGATAAAGGAAATATCGGTATCCGTCTGGCGTCTGCGGAGATTCTGCGATCCGAAGATCTCCCAGAACGCTGGATTGCCAAGTCTCGAAACGCCGAGTCACTTAAAATCTCCCAAATCTCGAATCGCTGATTTGCCGCGGTCGCTAGCGACAGGTGCCGTTTGATATCTATGCTCTCCCAAACTCCTCAGCTGCGATGTAGGACGTGGTCCTATGTGGACTTTCTCCAAGTTTGAGATAGTAATCGAGGAAAACTGTTCTCTTTAAAGAGCATTCATAGTTTTTCAATTGGAGTCAGGTTGTCGTTCTTGGATAGTTTTTTTTTCGTTTCACTCTATGCTTGCTTCATTTATAGGCCAACTTTCAAATATTTCGCATGGTGGACTTGTGCTCTTGGCGTCATTAGCACCACAACAATGATGTTAGTGGTAGATGCATCAATGAGCGCCATTGGTGTAGTTGCTGCTGATGTCACTTATCATGGTGTTGCACTACCAAGTACATTTTTTATCTGATTCTTATGATTACAAGTTATTTTTCCAAACCATGTTGCTTCAGCCCGTGCTTTGGATTATATATTGGCGGTTCTTTCAGGCCCCACCAACAGTATCGTCCGGTTCAATTTTCACAGGCTCTGATTTATCACCAAGTCAGGAAATACCTCTTACTACTCGATGTCCGAAAAGAACATGTCAAGTGTGTAGCCGATAGTTCCAAACCTGAGGTGAAATTCCAAAGACGATCCGCGTGATTACAGATATTGGCTTCCGCCAGATCTTTACTTTTGGTATCAAAGGCCATCTTCTTCTTGTCCACTTATGGATTTTGTCAATGATCTAAAAAAGTCTGGACTTTATGTTGTTGGACATGTGCGGAAAGGCGAATTGGATTCAAGTCAGGCTGTCGACCCACTGCAACAGGTTTACTCGCTTGTGTAACCTTTCGCAGTTTTGTAATGAACTCCCTTATCAATACACCTCACTCTTCAGCGTTCCTTATTGGGTGTCTCTCTGTGGATTTACTTGAGCCTGAAACGCTCTTTGTTCTGATAACTAACGCTTTTCATAATATGCATTCAGACAGGTATTCAACAGGTTGGTGGTCTTTTATTTTTGTACTATTCGTTTAAGTAGCCGCAGCCACTGAGAAATGCCTTTCAAGCTCATGCGACTATCTGGACTGGGCGCTATGAAGCCAAACACAGTGGTTCGTAGGTTTCCATGTGAGTCTTAACACCCCATTCGATGCTTACGTTACAGGTATATACTTTTCTAATTATTCTCTTCATCATTGAATGTAGTGCATTTCTTTTCCACTGAGCATTGAACAGCGGACAAAACAGTGAGCTGGTGGCTGGTAGTTAGCTGACAAAATGGTTAGCTCAGAAAATTATGAGGAACCAGTCATCTGTCGTCGATCGTTCCTGCTATTTTGATTTTCACATTTTTCGGTGCAATAACGCTGCTGACATGCTGTTAGTCTTGAATGTCTTATTGTGAGCAGCATTGGTCACTAATGATCTTGTTGACGGACGGCGTGGAATATGGTTCCTAATTTTTTGAGGGTCTTACGTTCAGGCGCACGTCGTACTGAAGGCATACTTAGCGAATGCGCGTCCCACTTGCCTTTAGGAGCGATGTTCTTCGTTTGTTTGACTTTTTTTTTGGCATTTGTTTTGCTGTTCGTATGTGTTATATACACCCCCCCCCGCTCGGTGACAGTTTCCGGTTTTTTTTTTGTAATAGGTTAATCTTGCAAAAGCACTTCGGAAAAGGTTGGAAGTTGGGAGAGTTTCGTATGTGCTAGGTAGGATAGGGAGGGGAATCATATTCAGCAAATAATTTCTCCAAGCGGCTCAGGACCTTGCCTCACTATACCTTACGTTCAAAACGAGTTATCTCAGGGGGTATTATTTGTTTGATCCTATCTCCAAAATTGGGTCAAACACATTTTGTCACAGGGTCAATCATGTAGTCCGGAATTCACTCTCACTTTCGCAGGTGTCCTAATTATTAGAAGATGATGTTCAAAATTTGAAAAGAGATTCTTTGAGGAACTAAGGAAACTGAAATCTAGATAACGACAAATTCGGGTTGGGTGCGCAGTGAGAATGGATCGACTGCCAGCGCTTGAATACGCTTTTAATTATTAATTTCTATTTATTTATTTCCGGTCTTCTATCTGTAGTGCGAACACGTTCCTTTCCAGGAGTCGCAACTTCTGAAGGATTTACGTTACTCGAAAATTGATCGAGCTGCAGTAGTGGAGTACTTCACTGCAGGGGATTTCATGCCCAAGGTTGGTAGTTTCATTTATTATGAGTATGACATCACCTTGAAATAAGAGGACCAATCGGATGTATAGCATTTGCCCTCTTAATCTTGCTTTGCCATAAGCCATATGTCTCCTCGTATACCGAATAATATTCCATTCAAATGAGATCATTTATCACATTAATTTTGTCTATCTCGTAAATCCTCCGATTTAAGAACTTTCTGTTCAGGAACTCAACGGTAATATGGAACGATTATCACCGTCAGAATATGTTAACGTTTTGAAAGATGTACTGCACATGACTAAAAGTTTATGTGTTGCAAGACACTTCCATAAAATGGATAAGGTTCGTTGATATTATACGCTCATTTATCCAAGCACTGTCGATTCAGGGAAAACGATAGTGCTTCATAATAGAATGTGGAGGTTCTTTGGCTAATGCCGTTTGGACGCACGCAGTTTTGGCACCGAGCTCATTTATAAAGCACCGAGATTACCATATCCGCTGAAAACTTGTATACATGGGTAATTCTAATCCTAATTACGAATGCTGGACACTTCATTTCTTGGCGCGCTGGCTGCCAAAGAGAGGATACTACGAGTTTACCTACTGAGCTCAGCCTTAGCATCGCGCAGATAATCCTAGTGTCATCCATTTGCGCCAGCGCCAAGAATGAACATCATATTCGTAATCAGGATGTTACATTACCTCTACATACAAGTTTTTAGCGGATTTGGTGATTTAGGCACTTTAAAAATGAGCTCGGAAAAAAATGGGCCAATATTGCGGGCGTCCAAACGGCATCAGCCAGGTTCTTGCATTCCGTTTCCTGCACGGCCTTTTTCACAATGAGAGGATTTCGTGACGCGATGTTGTGCATCACAAGTCACTCAAGGGAGACAGAAGGTGGTCTAGTGACTCCTAGTCAGGACTACTGGAACTACGTCGACTGCGAAGACGAAACAGTGGCACGTGGCGCCGCTACTGCTTGGTTGATCCAAATATGAAGCTTTCCACTTCTATCCTTCATCCAACTAAGCCTTCTTTCCTTTCGGGGACGACAGGTTGTAAGAAAACCTTTCATTGGGATAATATACTGTACATCAACTCGCGTCCGGGACTCGTTCTATATTTCTATTTCTATTCATTCCAAATGATGCATCGAGAAATTACTACAGCTACGTGGAACTCATTTTCAGGAAAATCTCGAACCAGAACCGGTCACCGCCAAAAGCTTTTTTGGGAGTTGTCATTGTCTAGTGCGTGGTGTATAGCGCTAGAGCCTAGTCTTTTAGAGTCCACAAAAAGCATTTAGTGCAACAACATTGAAGGAAGTGACGCTGCGCCCTCAACGGGCAGTTCGCAACGAGAGGGGCACTCTGCACTTTTGCTACTTCTCATCGACGTGCCGACTTATCCGAGAGCCTTTTCGTAAGACAGGAGTTGGAAAGTTCTACCAGGTGGTTGGACGAGCTTGCTTCAGATTCAGAAGAGTTAACGAGCTCCTTTAGAATGAGACTATTAAACCGGAACTAGTGAAGCAACGACAGCGCAAAAGCTCCCCTCCTCGCCGAAATGCGCCCTCAGTTTTCTTGCCCTTATGAAGCATTTTTCGTCAGAATCTGATGGAATGTCTTCCAGGAATCTCTCTCCCAAACTTGGAATCAAAAGCGCTATATCGATGTGTGGCCTGTCGATCTGCAAAGGCCCGTTGAAACGGGACTTGGTTGGGACAACAGGTTTGTCATCCTTCACCATAACGCAAGCACTGTCAATATCAACACCTTTCAGTTCCTTGTTTCTGCTACAGCTGGCTTGTATCCTTTCAATGTCGTCGAGGTGGCGATCATATGCACGTCTTCGAGTGTTCATTTGCGTTAACAGTTTACAGGTAACGATTCTTATCGTTAATCTCTGTTGTGTAGAACATAGCTATTGATCACACAACAAGAGCTACTTTTATTGGTTTATGTTCCACTCTTTTCGAATTTGACTTCTTCAAATCAAACACCATCAAATTCAGTTTTTCCTGTTCTTACATTTGCATTGAACGATGTGTTTTCCCATTTGCAGCACCATTATTAACAAGTTCAAATTCCTCCTTCAAGATGAAAAACTTTTTGCAATTGCTTTTGTGAAGAGGAATTATCCCCAAAAGGTCTCGTTCGACCTTCAGCGTTCAGACTTCGCGACGACGCGCTGTAACGTGCGTCTACGCGCTGGAATTGCAACTGCGCTATAGACGAACTGAGCGCAGGCGGAAAGCAATTGACGCCGGCCGCTTGTGTTTTGAAAAAGTGTGGGATAGTAGGAGGGACGCGTTGCCCAAGCACACAGTATGATAGGGTCGCACTAGTCGTTAGTTCTTCGAGAGGGTAATAGAGGAATAGGGGGATGGCTGATTGTGTGAAGGCAGCGCTTGTTACCCGATACTCTCCTAAACCACAAGCGGCCAGCGCCGATTCCGGTCTGCGGCTGCGTCAAGGGTGCTTGCAGTGGTAGCGCGTCGACGCGCGTTATTCCGAAGTCTGAACGCTGCCCAGAGCTAGTACTGGTGAGGCTCAATTCACTTCTTTTTCTACTCAAAGCAGCAATGATTTGTCAAGTGCGGCATTCGAAATGGGAGACGTATACTGCCGAGGGGCCCGTTGGACGCTGATTACAAAATACTCCTCCATAGTCCTGCTAAACGGATTCCTGGGCATAAGTTATTGCAGGCTTTTTTGACCAGGTCACACCCATTTCCAGCATGTATATGAGGTGCTCCAAATTGCCCAAATTGGCTGGAATCTGAAACTAGAGGTGCTTCAGTGCCCTGGAAATCAACACTGCAGTCATATTTCGTGAAAACGTCTTGTACGCATTCTGGAGGGCAGGGTGTGCAGGAACCTGCAACGTCCTTGGCAAGCGTTTTTACGCCGAACGAGTGTGATATTTGCTGCTGGGGCTGCAAACTTAGTCCTGAGTAGACAAGTTTTCAACCCACAATTTAGATAGAATTCGACTATTTTCGATACTGCTCCCGAGATACCATAGGCGACCATATTCCTAAAGGTTTCTGGGCCACTATCGCCGATTCAAATCTCTGTGAGCAGTGGAAGGTTCCTCGCTAAATCTTAGTCCTTGTTGGTTACTGACGGTCCTGATAACAACCACGACATCCACTTTTGGCTTCCATGCCATCTGGAATCAGTTTGGCCTCACAACACGACGGAACGAATAATGCCGCCGAAACCAACAATCAGGAAGTCCCACTAGGAGTGTTCCAGAATGGCTCTATCACATCAGAAATAAAACTTTTTTTGGCCAGAATCAGGTTCACTCAACACCTGCGAAGTTCTTATCGGATTGTGCAGGAGGCTATTTTTTGAGAATTGCAAAATGTGCGATCCATGGAGGGATTCGAAAACCCCCTCACCTGCGCATACTTCGGCGCGCCAGGCGACAGCTACCTTCTAGGCCACCGATGCACTTCGTGTGACGACTCACGTCTCATTTGTGTTACCACTCAATTGTGCTCCGTACAACAACCTCCTGCATATCTCTTCTCAGAGAACGTTGCAGTTTTAGAAAGATATGGAAAGCAGATTGAATCAAACGTCCGAAGACGCATCAGCGTGTATGCACCTTGTCTGAAAGGGCCACTTCGACCAACCATCCTTTCCTTGTCAGCAGCAATGATTTGATTATATTTTCGTGAAAGTGCATCTTTTGAAAAGTCAAATTTAGGATATGCATCGTCGAGATCGACAACTGAAACAAATGCTTGATACCTTACGTATTAAAGCGGAGTCAATTGTTGTGCCGTGGGATCATGTAGTTTGTCATTTCCCACAACAAAGCGGAGCTGCAGTAACTACCCAACGGTTTGTTTTTTCTTGCCTATAGGAATAATAGCAGAAAATGGCATGGATACTACAGTTGGGGTACAGCTCTGTTGTGCGTAACCCATGTTTGGTGACTAGAGAAGCCGGAAGACTCATATTTAGCTGGAAACTTTTCGGTGACTGCTGGGAAGCTGAGAACTGAGGAAAAAGATAGAAAACTGCCAGAGAGCTGAAAATTTTCGGAAATGTGGTAGGATGGGAAAAGGGGGAGGGGAATGTTTGTACCAGAACAGGAAATTTTGGGAGGGGCCATATTTTGCAAAAATTTCCCGGAATGGCAGGTCGTGCCCCAGTTCAAACCTATCCTCCCCCACAGGGCGAAGTTTTGAGAAAGTTTGTGGCAGATGTTAAGTAGATTGTGAAGAGGAGATGGTACAAACGTCACCGCACTCACCCTAGTGCTGTAGCCTGGCTTAAGCATTATTGCTTTATCGCTATATTTTGTATTTTTTTGCGTACATAAATGAGTTGTTAAGACCCGCGGTTGATCTCCCAGCGCCTTACCTCTCTGCATTCAACGACATGATCAAGCGATATAGTGAAGAAGCAGCCATAACGCTTCTGAATCTTCCGTTACCTCCAGAAGATGCCAATTTGGATGCTGATAGGTAAAAGATCTTTCAATTATTCTTTATTTAGTGGCTTAGAATAACCATTTCGGATAATTTGTTGAAACTATTGAGTCGGCCCATAAGTAATGGCGTTTTTTCTCCCACTCGAAATATCGCGCTGTAAGAAGAAAAGTTTTGCCATTGAGTTTTATACCATTTTGCAGAGAATTCCTTGCCCTACACGACAGTATTCTTAGTTTTCTTCAAGTTTCTCTTTCCACTAATATTTTATTGATTAAAATGGGGTGTCAGGTCGATGAAATTGAGCATTTTCGTTCTCAGCGTTTTGTGTTACCATTTTTTGTACATTCATTGCTGATTAAAAACTCATTCTCCCTTGCGTCTCAGTAGTATATCCTGAAGAGAATTTTTTTGCGCTATCTGATGGTATAATTGCCTAGCATAGTATATGCTTAATAAACCGCCTTTTCCCAAGACTTTCAAGCATGTCGAAAGAGCAACTTCGGACGATTTTTTTCTTCGACTATAAATTGGGTTAATTCGCAATCGAGACAGCTCAAC